TCACCGACGGTCGACTAAATTCATTGACAAACTCGAGAACGCCATTTTACATCGTAGCTTCCTGATCGTTTGAAATGAATAGCCAGCTATATGAAACAACAAAGATAAAGGATAAAGCTATCGGTGGATCCATCCCTGAGGGATGCGCCATGCATTCGTCCTCACTTTTTAACATCGTTTAAGGTGATTGAATGCGTATCTGGCCTTCACAACGACTCGCGGTGGCCTCCCGCTGAACCGAGTCAGTGCTCCCAGACAAGTCTGAGACCGGCTTGGTGCCAATTTAGCGACCCCGGAGGAATGGATGGTTTGGTGAGCCATGAGCGCGAGATCGAACCATTGACCTCTTATGCGAAGCAGAGCACCTCTGACTACTGTGCTACATGCCCTCTCAGCTCTCAGCATATGCTGCTGCCATAGCTGTATAAGTAAAGTAATAATCCGAAAATATTTCCAGACGATGGTGGAAATATGACCGGAGTGGGATGCGCCTTTTATACAAATTGCTCTAACCCGTCCAATTCAAACATTCTCATGGTGTCGTTTGTTTGTCATCATGGAGAGCTGTAAGTCACTAAATCACAATAATTTCTTAATCATGTTTGGTCGATATCTTTATTTATTCGTCTCAGGCAAGAGAAACTCGACATTCCAATCTACACGAATGGGTCGCCATGCGATGCATGTGATGGTAACAGCAATACTAATCTTAGACGCGTCAGTGGTTTATGCAATTGCACACGCACGCACACTCATTTGATTTTCCATATTGATAGAGATTTTAATCGATTTATATTTGTTATATAACTGTCCTGCAAAACTCGATTTTTTATGGCAAACGAGCAGTTTCACTCTTTCAACTAAACTCACTCATATAGATGGCACTTTGACCTCATTCTACTCTTGCTTGTTCCCTGGAGTACTTCGTCTCTAGTGTCATAGAGGGTGTATCATCTCACTCAGTGTTATAATACCCAACTTTATTTTTCTTGTCAGTATGGCCAAATCCTCTAAAATGGGCTTATATGCAAGTGAACGTTCATTGTAGATAAACACCGTCACTTAAGTTTTCCGAGATTTAGGTTGACCAAAATGGCTCATAGGTTTAGTTTCCTCCCCGTACTCGTCCTAGTTAACTCTATCGTGTCCAGAGATTTCTCTGGTCAAAAAACTGAAGCCCATTTCTTTTCACTGTTTAGCAACAGTTCTGCACGCGTTCCCCGAAAGAGTGAGATCTGGGTTCGAATCACGGCTGAAGCAAATGTTCTTGCACAGCACTCTACATTATCGGATATATTATAAGATCGTACCATCGCAAGAGGCGATCAACTAAATGAATTCCGATTGATCAGTGTTCAGCTTTTGATACCAGCGACTAGATAGTTGAGCTGTAAGCTAGATGCGTCAGGATATTTAGTGGAAACCACACGGAGTGATTAATGAAAAAATCTTGAGATATTCTCCAGATTGTCCAAAGTGACGCTGCTATTGACTGCTGTCGTTCAACAGTTGATATTTCGGTGACATCGCCTTTTCAAAGCCTGGACAAATCTTCGCGATGTTGTCAGCCGTGATTCGAACCGTCGATCTCCTTTTCAGTGAAAAATGTAATGCCGCGCGAAGATGGCGATGATATGATTTCGCGTCGATTTCGGGGACAACAGTGACATCGGTCAGGCAGAACCTATAAATCACTAAGATAAGATCTATTTTACTTGGCTGAGAAAAAAGCTGAATATTCGCTGAAAATTCGGATTTTATGCTTAAATTCAATCGAAAACAGCAATAACTGTACTTCAAAACAAAAGCCACTATTATCCTCGATCTTCTGCCACCCACCTGTAAGCTTCCGGATCTGCTCGAAATACCATTCCTTAGGCTTTATCAGAAAACTTTTGATATGCCTCTTCAACTTGATCAAACGTCTCGAATCGGCGTCAACGCAGGAAATGTCCTACTGAGCGAAAACCACCGTAATTGGACGGTGCCTTATCTGGATTGTAGGCTGGGTGTGGCTAAATCTTGACTCCCTTCACTTCATCAAACTTTTCGTTAGCCATCTTTGAGTTGTGACGTTTGGCGTCGCCTGAGTAAAATAGCGCTTTCGACAAATCATGTTGGGTACTTTCTATTCATCGCATCGTAGATTTGGTCCAGCTGCTCGCAGGAAAGTTGGTTATCGATGGCGCGACTTCGTAACTACTTCGGAATGCAAGACCTTTTTCAAATTCCACCAAACGCAGATCATGACCTTTTTGCCAAACGAGTTCTGACATGCAAGTTACGGAGAAGCTTGACTTTTGGAACCCAACTTTGTTCCGATCGTGATCGTGATCAGGTAGACCCACTTCTTATCCGCGTAACGACACCTTCCAAAAGTGATCGTTTAGCGGGTTTTGCAAAAAACTGGCAGAAATCTTCGACAAGGAAATTGGCTTATGCTTCAGTCAATTCGTGCGGTTCTTAGCGAGGCTTTTGTAGACAAAGTCAAGTTGTTGGAGATGATCTTAGACCGTTTTTTGATAGTAAGTTCTGTTGCCAGTTCACGAGTGCTTGATGACGGTTCCGCATCCGAAGTTGCTTGCAGATCTGTATAGTCCAACGTTCAATGGTCGGCGGGAATGGGGTTGGTCTTTGAGACTGGGATCACCACTTTGAAATCGTTTGTACTACTTTGCAGCAGCTACATGGCTCACAGTTCCTTCGCCTCCGGCACCACAGATCTCCTTTGAAGCACCACTTGTCGCAGGCTCCCGCATCTAGCCATAGCGAATCAAAACTTGAAACTTGCCTTTGCCCATCGTCATCATTTGGTATACGAAAAGTACATTGAAATTTTGAGCACTATAACTGATGTTGCCGTGAGAGTTTCTTAGGTGAAGATTCCTGAAATATTTCAATAAATATACAATAAGCGATACTGTCTGAAGCAAACATTCAATTTTTCGAGGGTGTTAAGTAAGGAGAGCGACGGCATGACCAGTAATTTGTTTTTAATGCTATTTCACAATTTATTCCCAGCACCTAGCTCACATAAATGCATGCGCACCCTACGGTCATTTACTGCAGAGAAACCCCAGTTTGATGACCATTATAGCTAATCAATAGTTTCATGAAATCTAGAACTACGCTTTACATAAACGGGTAGAAAGCATTTGTGTACTATTTGCCCTGTGACGCAAGTCACATTTCTTTAGCGCTCCCGCGAGACATGACTCCTATAGAGGTTACACGTAAGTAGCACAATTGCCCCTTACACATCGAGTTCAATTCGCTCAGAGGATAGTTTGCAAAACCCTTTCTTCATACACCTTTCTTTGAATCCTTTCTCTAATTTGTGGACCTTGGAATGAAGCGACCGTCACAAGAAAATAGTTGGTTCCGCCTTAACTGATCACTGATTGCTAAATCACCATGGAGAGATGGCAATTGAATCAAGGAACTATAGGCTGGATTCCACGAGAGAACACCCGTCTCCAACGGCTACCATTCACGTTGGGCAGACGTGATTGTAAAAACAATTCAGCTGTAATAGCTGCTAATAAAGTTTTATGCATCATATTATACCTTCATTTCGAGTGCTTTATCAAGACCCACGCTCAAATTTCAATAGACCCTTCAATTATTATTTGAGCCAACTTGTCATGTGGTCTGGTAAAGGCTCTTGTACAGCTCGATACACGTGTTCGTCCTTACAGACTCGTCAGTCGGGCAGAACCCGTCGTCTTTCGATATTTTTTAAGTCAGTTCTCTCGGGAGCTCTACTCCTCTACAAAGAGTCATCGAAGACGAACGTTCTACACTCTATGTCAAGTGAAATTTTCACATAACACAGAGTGTTTACGCACTCGATTGCTCGTTGGCTGGTATTTTTATCATATTATTCCTTCATTAGAGCGCATGTGGTGCAGTGGTTAAAGGTACACTGTATAGCAAACTTCCCAACGGAGTTTTGCTATCTTTTCGGGAATTACATGATCATTTAGGTAACGCAGATGGTCCACGACCTTAGAGAGCAAGTGGTATCGCAGAGGTTCGAGGACCTTAGACAGAAATGGTCCAAGTGGCGATGGCGGCACCCAGCTGCCACCAACCTCAACAGGCAGTTCGATCGACGGGCATCATCCGAACGGTCGTCTGACCTCAGCCGGACCACCTCACCTCAGTTCATTGTCGACTCATTATTGCTCTCTCCACATAGTCTCGTTATCATGTAACTAATTGCTATCATAAGGTTGAGTTCATAAGACTGTTAGATGAACTCATTAGAATTGTGAAAGGAACATATCACTAACGTGGCGGAGCAAACTCATTTAGGCTATGGTCGGCCCACCACCGTGGTTAAGGGATTCTGCCCATATATAATCAATAGTGACCCCGCTGCTAACACTAGATAATCACCCACTGGATCCCGCCGCCGGTGCTTCTACTTGGGGGGCGAACATAGCAACCCCAAAAGGGCTCCGCCGCCTAGTCATGCTCCGTTAATAACAACATACATGGTATTGTCACACGACGATACGTCTCATCAATCACATTAACTTATTCAAATAATCGTCTCAAGACGAAACATTGCATTCACTAACATATGTTCACATAACGATATGACGCAACCGTATGTAGATTGTTCTTATGTTATTATAACAGCAATGTATGTATATTATAGGTTGTTTGGTGGTACCACTTCATTGTTCGGTTTCACCCCATTGTTTTGTATAACCCATATAAAGGATCCGAACATTATGCTCTTGTCGGTTACAAAAGACAAGTTGGCAAAAGGCACGGTCACTCAGACTAAAGTTCAGCCCGTAGTAACTTGGAAGTGCAACTAGCCACTTCAAAGGGCAAAAGTCGTCGTAACCCGGAAGTTCGACGCGTGCAGCATAAAGGTCAGTGCGCGGCTAAGGACAATCTAACAATATTCAGATATCGATCGAATCACTGCCTGAGACAAATCCAGGGACCACACAGCGAAAACCACTGAACCTCCACCACATTGGTGCATTGGCCGAGAATCGAATCCGGGTCGCCCGCGTAGCTGGCGAGCATTCTACCACTGAACTGGGCAACACTCTGCGTCACACACGAAGTCAGTGGTTCGATCTCGCGCCCATGGCTCACCAAGCCATCCATCCCTCCAGGGTCGGTAAATTGGTACCAGACAGGTCTCAGACTTGCCTGGGAGGATAAGCAGCACTGACTCGCTTCAGCGGGAGGCCACCGCGAGTCATTGTAAAGGCCAGATATGCATTCAATCACCTCAAACGAAGTTAAAAATTGATCAAATGCATGGCGCATTCCTCAGGGTTTGATCAACGCCGAGAGCTCTATCCTTTTATCTTTTTATACCTTTATATCAAGTGCTTTATTGAGACCACGCTCAAATTTCAATAGATCCTTTCATTATTATTTGAGCCAACTTGTCATGTGGTTCGGTAAGGGCTCTTGGTGGGGTAAGGGCATCAAATTTTACTCCAATAGGTCTCATTCTATTGTTTTCAAGATGTCCTGGAGGGTCACAACAGAAACTCTTAATAGGAGATATTATCAAATTGTGAAATCTCCCATTTCACATCGATATTAATTCCAGTGCACACCGATGAATTTTTAAATGTGAAATTAAATCAAAAGATCGACTGTTTTTGAAACCCCGCAAAAAACATTCAATATAATTCCAAAAAAGAATGATTTAAGCTGAAAAACGAGGTTGTTACGCCAGGGTCATACACCGGTGTTTCGGAGGTACGTCCTCCTCGTCAGTGACCCCCGCCCCACATTCAGCCCTGCATTGAAGCAAGGAGGGAGGCGTATGTGGTGATGGAACAGTGTACAATGACACTGGTCCATCACCACCCCTCAGTCGATGGATTTTTTGCTGTTAGATCAAAACTAAATCAAAAGATCGACTGTTTTTGAAACCCCGCAAAAAACATTCAATATAATTCCAAAAAAGAATGATTTAAGCTGAAAAACGAGGTTGTTACGCCAGGGTCATACACCGGTGTTTCGGAGGTACGTCCTCCTCGTCAGTGACCCCCGCCCCACATTCAGCCCTGCATTGAAGCAAGGAGGGAGGCGTATGTGGTGATGGAACAGTGTACAATGACACTGGTCCATCACCACCCCTCAGTCGATGGATTTTTTGCTGTTAGATCAAAACTAAATCAAAAGATCGACTGTTTTTGAAACCCCGCAAAAAACATTCAATATAATTCCAAAAAAGAATGATTTAAGCTGAAAAACGAGGTTGTTACGCCAGGGTCATACACCGGTGTTTCGGAGGTACGTCCTCCTCGTCAGTGACCCCCGCCCCACATTCAGCCCTGCATTGAAGCAAGGAGGGAGGCGTATGTGGTGATGGAACAGTGTACAATGACACTGGTCCATCACCACCCCTCAGTCGATGGATTTTTTGCTGTTAGATCAAAACTAAATCAAAAGATCGACTGTTTTTGAAACCCCGCAAAAAACATTCAATATAATTCCAAAAAAGAATGATTTAAGCTGAAAAACGAGGTTGTTACGCCAGGGTCATACACCGGTGTTTCGGAGGTACGTCCTCCTCGTCAGTGACCCCCGCCCCACATTCAGCCCTGCATTGAAGCAAGGAGGGAGGCGTATGTGGTGATGGAACAGTGTACAATGACACTGGTCCATCACCACCCCTCAGTCGATGGATTTTTTGCTGTTAGATCAAAACTAAATCAAAAGATCGACTGTTTTTGAAACCCCGCAAAAAACATTCAATATAATTCCAAAAAAGAATGATTTAAGCTGAAAAACGAGGTTGTTACGCCAGGGTCATACACCGGTGTTTCGGAGGTACGTCCTCCTCGTCAGTGACCCCCGCCCCACATTCAGCCCTGCATTGAAGCAAGGAGGGAGGCGTATGTGGTGATGGAACAGTGTACAATGACACTGGTCCATCACCACCCCTCAGTCGATGGATTTTTTGCTGTTAGATCAAAACTAAATCAAAAGATCGACTGTTTTTGAAACCCCGCAAAAAACATTCAATATAATTCCAAAAAAGAATGATTTAAGCTGAAAAACGAGGTTGTTACGCCAGGGTCATACACCGGTGTTTCGGAGGTACGTCCTCCTCGTCAGTGACCCCCGCCCCACATTCAGCCCTGCATTGAAGCAAGGAGGGAGGCGTATGTGGTGATGGAACAGTGTACAATGACACTGGTCCATCACCACCCCTCAGTCGATGGATTTTTTGCTGTTAGATCAAAACTAAATCAAAAGATCGACTGTTTTTGAAACCCCGCAAAAAACATTCAATATAATTCCAAAAAAGAATGATTTAAGCTGAAAAACGAGGTTGTTACGCCAGGGTCATACACCGGTGTTTCGGAGGTACGTCCTCCTCGTCAGTGACCCCCGCCCCACATTCAGCCCTGCATTGAAGCAAGGAGGGAGGCGTATGTGGTGATGGAACAGTGTACAATGACACTGGTCCATCACCACCCCTCAGTCGATGGATTTTTTGCTGTTAGATCAAAACTAAATCAAAAGATCGACTGTTTTTGAAACCCCGCAAAAAACATTCAATATAATTCCAAAAAAGAATGATTTAAGCTGAAAAACGAGGTTGTTACGCCAGGGTCATACACCGGTGTTTCGGAGGTACGTCCTCCTCGTCAGTGACCCCCGCCCCACATTCAGCCCTGCATTGAAGCAAGGAGGGAGGCGTATGTGGTGATGGAACAGTGTACAATGACACTGGTCCATCACCACCCCTCAGTCGATGGATTTTTTGCTGTTAGATCAAAACTAAATCAAAAGATCGACTGTTTTTGAAACCCCGCAAAAAACATTCAATATAATTCCAAAAAAGAATGATTTAAGCTGAAAAACGAGGTTGTTACGCCAGGGTCATACACCGGTGTTTCGGAGGTACGTCCTCCTCGTCAGTGACCCCCGCCCCACATTCAGCCCTGCATTGAAGCAAGGAGGGAGGCGTATGTGGTGATGGAACAGTGTACAATGACACTGGTCCATCACCACCCCTCAGTCGATGGATTTTTTGCTGTTAGATCAAAACTAAATCAAAAGATCGACTGTTTTTGAAACCCCGCAAAAAACATTCAATATAATTCCAAAAAAGAATGATTTAAGCTGAAAAACGAGGTTGTTACGCCAGGGTCATACACCGGTGTTTCGGAGGTACGTCCTCCTCGTCAGTGACCCCCGCCCCACATTCAGCCCTGCATTGAAGCAAGGAGGGAGGCGTATGTGGTGATGGAACAGTGTACAATGACACTGGTCCATCACCACCCCTCAGTCGATGGATTTTTTGCTGTTAGATCAAAACTAAATCAAAAGATCGACTGTTTTTGAAACCCCGCAAAAAACATTCAATATAATTCCAAAAAAGAATGATTTAAGCTGAAAAACGAGGTTGTTACGCCAGGGTCATACACCGGTGTTTCGGAGGTACGTCCTCCTCGTCAGTGACCCCCGCCCCACATTCAGCCCTGCATTGAAGCAAGGAGGGAGGCGTATGTGGTGATGGAACAGTGTACAATGACACTGGTCCATCACCACCCCTCAGACGAGGAGGACGTACCTCCGAAACACCGGTGTATGACCCTGGCGTAACAACCTCGTTTTTCAGCTTAAATCATTCTTTTTTGGAATTATATTGAATGTTTTTTGCGGGGTTTCAAAAACAGTCGATCTTTTGATTTAGTTTTGATCTAACAGCAAAAAATCCATCGACTGAGGGGTGGTGATGGACCAGTGTCATTGTACACTGTTCCATCACCACATACGCCTCCCTCCTTGCTTCAATGCAGGGCTGAATGTGGGGCGGGGGTCACTGACGAGGAGGACGTACCTCCGAAACACCGGTGTATGACCCTGGCGTAACAACCTCGTTTTTCAGCTTAAATCATTCTTTTTTGGAATTATATTGAATGTTTTTTGCGGGGTTTCAAAAACAGTCGATCTTTTGATTTAGTTTTGATCTAACAGCAAAAAATCCATCGACTGAGGGGTGGTGATGGACCAGTGTCATTGTACACTGTTCCATCACCACATACGCCTCCCTCCTTGCTTCAATGCAGGGCTGAATGTGGGGCGGGGGTCACTGACGAGGAGGACGTACCTCCGAAACACCGGTGTATGACCCTGGCGTAACAACCTCGTTTTTCAGCTTAAATCATTCTTTTTTGGAATTATATTGAATGTTTTTTGCGGGGTTTCAAAAACAGTCGATCTTTTGATTTAGTTTTGATCTAACAGCAAAAAATCCATCGACTGAGGGGTGGTGATGGACCAGTGTCATTGTACACTGTTCCATCACCACATACGCCTCCCTCCTTGCTTCAATGCAGGGCTGAATGTGGGGCGGGGGTCACTGACGAGGAGGACGTACCTCCGAAACACCGGTGTATGACCCTGGCGTAACAACCTCGTTTTTCAGCTTAAATCATTCTTTTTTGGAATTATATTAAATGTGAAATTATTTTACAGTCCAAAAATATTTTTAGATTACTAGGGACATCCTAATTTTCAACCTTTTTGACTGCTTTTAGCTCGACAGATTCAAGAGCTTCCTTTGAATCGATTGAAGAGGAACAGCAATCCCTTCTACTTTCACGATATTTGAGCGAGTCTTGTTATCATGTGGATTTGATCTGTCTATATAAGAGACAGATCCACAATAAATGTGGTCAGTTTTCGAAGAAAAAATCAGGAAAGCGCATTAGTGAATCTAAATGGAGCAGATTCATAAATCTGTGTTTAACAACAATGTCTTCTTGTAACTGACTCGTCACTGGCATCTTTCGATTACCTCTACCATGCTATGCTCGATAAAAAGGATCAATCCCTGAAAAAAAAGCCAATTTTCGAAATTAGAAAGTCAGCAAATATCACTAACCAATCAATAAGACGCCCATTCATAATATCATATTTTAGAACACTATCTTCACGTACTGGCGCCTTCGCTAGCTTCTTCCGATCAAATCAGTCGTCGCTATGCTCGATAAAGAGGATTCATAACTGACAAATATCGTCAATTTTGAAAGAAAAAATCGGGAACAAATCACTAATGGTTCTC